TGATTCAACATCAAAATCATTGCGTTGTGGTTCTAGTACAATAGCTTGTCTTCTTGAACTGCCTGTTACCTCCTCTTTACTTGTTCTTCGGTCTATATTGAACATTTGCAGCCCAATATCTATATCCTTCATAATATCTAAAGTATATACCTGAGATATATCTATTTCTGTACTAGTATTGTTGTTATTTGCTGAGATATCTGTGTCAGAAAATTCGATAACATCATCAGTTTCACTATTAATTGCTGCAATGGTATCTAGTATTTGGTTACGCAATAAATTTTCAAGTAAATCAATTGCATAACAAGTCAATTCTTGTTTAGCGTTAGTAATATAAAAGGTATGTAGTTTGCACATCCCTTCTACTTGTTCTGTAGCCAAATTGGTACGTCTTTGATTATAGAACCAACTGAGAACTGAAAAAGAACGCTCACAAGAAGCACTATGCGGTGTTATTGCAAAAAGACGAAGTGCTAGTGTTTGTAATTCCCATTCTTCTTTTTCATGTTATGCATTTTTCCACCAAATAATTGGCGTATCCGATTTAGAATTGTATAAGTAATCAAATGGCACCTTTTTAATTCTATATTTTCGTATTTGTAATAATAGTTTGCTACACGATTCTTGATCATGTCCTATGTCTTTTCAAATTTGTGCAGCTGTTATATTAATATCACGAAATTTTTGCGAATCAATACCGTTATCTAAAAATGTATATTGCTATTAAATAAAGTTTTTATTATATATATATAAAATATATATTAATTACCATGATATCGCGGATATAAAAAAAAAGTCAAAATATAGATATTATTAGAAAATTTGTCCCAACGATGATTAAATTTTTTAATACAATAATTTTTAAATGCTATATTTTGATTTGGTATATGAAAAATTGCATTTGCTAATGATACTAAATGGACATAGCAATCAGTGAGATTAGAGGTTTTCGATTCTAGACATCCAACAGAAATTTTGAGGGGATGAAGAATAGACGCAATAAGCTGACAATCTTCATAAAAAATTCGATCGCAAAGAATGTCCTTAATTCGAGGTTTAAGATCATTTTCATGTTCCGAAAGAACCTATATAAATATAGAAATTAATTAGAGTTAACGTTAGGGTAAAAAGGTATACATATTAGAGTAAAGATACAGGCAATAGATTTTGCAGTCTACAACAACTTGTAATCAAAAATCATATCCCTTGTAATTAAAAAATTGTATTTTAATAGTGTTTCTGTAACTATATCGTAACTTATAGCTGTATATTAAATTGAGATGTGCAAGTTTAGTTACTTATCTAATTTTTGCATAATAGTAATAAATAATTATAGCAAGATGCAACTTGGCGAATATTACAGTCATAGCGCAAAAACTTGGCAGTTCTGATAACGATGCTATCCCAATTGTTGTCTAAATATTAATATTTGCACTAATACAAAATAGAAGCAATATACCCAAAAAGCTGGTTTCTATAGCAAATTTGGGAGTTTTTTAAGATTTCTTTTTTTATTATTATTATTTTTTGTTTTACTTCTTATATTTGTATATTACATACTGACCTTAGAATCGGATTAAATAGAAGTTACGGGGCTGACAAATTTTTGCGCCATGACTATATTACTTCAACCTGGTTTAAAATTTACTTTTTAGATTATTTGAGTGCTTTCAAATTAAAACCTGAAGTCGCTATAAATATCACAGGTAACAAATAGATATATGTATAAATTATATGATGGATAATTCAAGTAATTTCATATGTTAAAAAAAGCCCAATTTTTACTTACAGGTTTTAATCAGCAGCACTCATATCGATATGGCAGCACTTATTTTTTTTAATTTACTTGAATTTGTTTTACAAGAATTTTATCACAACGGAATCATATAATTCAAGTTGCACACACTATGGCAAGTTATAACTAAGTTTTGATATAGCATACCCATCGCACAAAAATAAAATAAAATTAATACTTACTCTTACAAAAGCAAATTCAAGTCGTACAATTGAGTTAATACAATCCTACATTGTAGACCAATGTGTGTTTGTATGATCCTTTAAATCACCACCTTTAATCTTCAATATTTTAATTGCATCTTTCAAAAATTGATATGCGGCATGTGACTTTGTAAAATATTGATAGATAATACCTATTTTCCGAACTACACTTTTTACAAATATATGTTTGCACAAGTCTTCTGTAATTAAATTAATACAATGCGCTATGCATCTAATATCCAAAATATGTGGATATTTCTCATACAAAGTTCTTCATGCAACATGAATATTAGCTGCATTATCAGATACAATAACGGCTATTTTTTCAGGACCAATATCTTCAACAACATTAATAATTTCTTCACCAAGAAATTGACCAGTATGATAAGGTACACTGGAATAATTTTTTGAAGACCAAAGATATTCTTTATGCTCTTTAGTGATTATACAATAATTGTATATAGATTGACCTATAGATAGTATAGAAGTCGATTAGTTAATTTAATTGTAATCTTTGCAGATCACAATGTTAT